TTTGACCAGAGCTAGCTCAGCTCCAGGGTTTCCTCTCGAAGGAAGGCTTTGTCTCTCATGCATTCACTGTAACGCCTGGTGCGATGAGAACAGACTGGTTTCTTACTTCTTATTTTAACTGGGACTTTGCTCATGTTTATGCTACAAAACCAGTGGTTTTCCTTTGAACCAAGGGCCTCTTACGAAGAACTGGAGTTGGTTGTCCAAGAGTGAACAAGTTGGGTCCTTAGCCAGCACTGGCGGATCCCATGCTGCATATGGCATCACACAGGGAAGCAAGCTAAGCCATGGGCTAGTAACAGGGCAGTGTGTTTCTATCAATGCATATTCATACCTGAGGTGTCTGGATAATGGTGCAACACTGCCTTAGGAGTGGCATGGAAACAAACCAAAACTGCTCAGGGTCTAATTCTGGCCCCACTAAAGTTAACCACAAAAGCACCACTGACTCAAAGGAATGAAGCTTTCAACGCCAGGACAGCTATGGCAGTGTGTTGGTACAATCTTGTGATAAAGTCCAGAGAATAAACAATTTATGCTGATAAAAAATGAACTTACAAGAAACTCAGTCTGCTGCAACTTAAAGGACTGTGACCTTTTCTATTTATCTCAAGAGCACACTGAATATCAAGCATGCTTTCAGAGGAAAAAAATTACAATTAAGACAGGAATGCAAGCATGCTATTGATGTGTAGAGCTCTGTGTGCAAAACAGGCAATTCACTGTATGCACAAATGATGAAGTAAATGAAAGAAAGAGAAAATGGTCCTAACTGCTCATTCATTTTTGAGAGATGTGAAATGTAGTACTAGATGTATTCAGTACCATTTTAGCCGAGATACTCTGTCTTCCACTGTTGGCCAGCATCCCATGGTGTGAGACCATAACATCATGGATTAAGAACAGAAGTAGAGAGCAATTCACAGACTGAATCCGTGGACCATAATTAAAATATCATGTATAAAACAAATTCTGAAAAGCTACTTCAAGGCTACCATTACAATTGCTTACAACTGCCCTCAAAATGCTCACTAATTAAGCCCATAAGCCTGACACAAAAAGCACTGGAGCTTTCTCGGCCTCTCCCTCCCCTGTGAAAAAGGCTTTGTTTGCTGCATGTGCAGAACAAACGGATGCACCATGTGCTTTTCAGCTAAGAATACCAAGAAGCTTAAACAAGTAGTTTCTAAATATGCAGGACTGATCATAGCCTCCTCTGGTTAAAAATACACAATCTGGTGTGATTAGGTACACGACTAATATATATCATGCTCGTACTCACAAACAGTACATAAAGGCAACTAAGACATGGTAAGACATAGATTTTTTTCTTTTTTCCCGAACGGCCATAAAAATGAGGGGTAAATGGGCAAAAACTATTAGGAAGTGAAACAAAGACATTTAAGTTGTACATTTAATTCCTTTCTTGCATGAGTGAACAGGTTCTAAGTTAAAAGGAAAATGTCCTACATTAAAACCAGTCTTTTGCCCATTCAAAATACCTGGTTTTGCAGTTAATAGCACATTGTGGTCATGACTGTAATACAGAAAAATCCCCATGTTGTATCTTCCAGTGAAATCAATGTACTCAGCTTTGTGAACAAAACCAGGACACTGACCTGCCGTAACTATAACCACCATGAGCCCAGGCCTGCAGCACTTTGCTTAGGCAAGACTCTTACTGAGCCTGGTGCCTGTGCAAGGACAAGGGAACAGACAGCAGGGTTCCTGTGCCAAATGGTCCCAAACATGAGGATGGATGGGTGAAAAAAAGCACCCTGATGTACAGCCAGTTTGCTCTTTGTATGTGCACGAATTTAGCTCATTGGTTTTACATCTTGTATTTGTAGCAATAGTCTCCCATTTTATCTACATTCTCTGGTTCAGTTCAAAGGAAGTCTGTGTTGCATAAACTCAACGTTAGCATCCCCCCCATGCCACGAAGGAGGTGTCAGGTTTTGGTATATAAAAAAATCACTACCATTTCTTCTTATTACTATTACTTAATTGTAAGAAGGGGTTTGGAACTGGATGAGCATTATGATTCCTTCCAACACAAACCACTCTGTGATTCCATGATTCTATTTAGACAGGAACCCTGCTCAAGAGTGTCTGCTTCTACCTCAGCAGTACAGATCTTTTCCCGCAAGCATCTGAGCAAGCTCAGGAGTTGTGGTCTGCAGACAACTGCTGAGTTCAGCATCCCTCAGTGCTGCAGAGCAGCAGCAACCAGCATGGCACCAGCATGCTGTGCAGCGGTTTGGGGCAGGAAGTGAAGAATACCACCAAAATCAGCTAAAGTATCAGTGCATTTGGAGAGGTGGAATCCAATTACTAGGACTTTGGCCAGAACATCTGTCTTGACTTTTATGTCCTTGCAAAAAAGTTATGGGATCTTTGATGGCAAGAAGTGGTCAGCATCTTGGGTTTTCATCTTATTTGGAAGACAACAGCAGCAAGAGTAATGTGACTGCTGGCTGCTTCCCTGGGCAGGATTATCAGCGGCTATCTCAGCTGCTCTGAGGTAGGGATATCTCAGGTCTGGAGACAGGGTGCTGCTCCTGCAGAGCAATCCGCACATGGCCACAGCAGGCATCACGCTGAGAGTGGGTGTGTGATGGCCCCTGGCTTTGGGGGAGTGAGGAGACTGAATGCAGGACCTGAGTCCATCGCATCCTGTAATGCTGGTCAATGACAGCTAGGGCTCAGTTGCCTTGACTTTAACTCTGCAAGCCAAAGCTGTACTTAATGTAATATTTAATCTCTAATATTGGAGGTGTGTACAAGACAAAACAAGGATATAAGCTAGATTTGGCTTCAGCTTTGCAAGCAAACAAAAACAAGTAATAAAATTGAGACAGAAGGGGATAAGTTGCCACCAGAAGTTGGTGACTGCCCTCTTTGATGACAGCACTATGGCCTCAGAAAGCTGCTCCTGTGGTTTCCTAGCCAAGTCTGCAGGCATGTAGGCAGGGGAGGGGAGATGATACCTAGCTCTTATTATAGGGTATTTCTTTAATTTCATTCATTACATCAATTAGAAAAAGTCAAAATCTGCGTTTCATCCATCAGGATTCCTGGAATGGAACATTTTCATCTGGTCTTGTGTTTTTACCAGGGGTTCATCTACTGTGCAGCACTTCATTTAATATTTGTGTTCTAGACAACAACAGACCTATATGGCATACAGTAGCTTAAATGTTAATGGTACTGAAATACATCACCTGGATGTTAATGCTCTGTGCCAAAGTATTCAGATACTGAGGCAGCAGAGTGCACCAATGCAGTTGACTAATATTTAATTTACCTCCTTTTCCTCCTGTTCATATGGTCCTCCCCATCTATCCCCCTAAAGCTCGCTGCTGGTTTTACTGCAACATCAGCAGCTACTGGGTGGCTCCTGTACAAAAGTTTCAGCTTTTGTTCCACCTCTATTTCATTTGTGGAGGTCCCTCATCGCTACTTGCTCCAACGGGATGTAAAGGAGAAGAAATCTCACTTATTATTTGCCTCCAGACTCACAGGGCACGGCTCTTGGTAGCTGTGAAGAAATCCTGGGTTGTACCCACTGTAGCTGCAATTTGCAACAAACTCAGCCACTAAAATGGTAACAGAAATCTCTACTGAGGTTTGGACGTATCAGTGAAAATCAGTTTTTCAAGCGTTTATACCTTGACCAGATGTTCACATCATTTCAGACAGATCAGAAGTAAAGGTTTGATACAAACACTACTTGCACCTGATCTTTGCCTGAGAGCCAAATGACGCCAAACTGTATTGCCAAAAATGACTGGAGCACCTGCAACCCATTCATGCAGCAACGTGGTTTTGCCTCATTCTGGCTGAAAGCACTAAAGTTGGTGAGACCAAGTAGAAGAGTATTTCTGGTAAAAACCTCATCTATTTCCCCTCACCTCCTTTTACCCTGACCAGGTACACAGCTCACAAAATACACTCAGAGCCATACAGACTGCTGGACCTCTGCTACTGAACTCAATCTATAGGAACAATTCCAAGCAGCGGTAACCTCTCCATGCATACTTCCACTGTCCCGAGGGATCAATATAATCAGTATCGCAGCTGGCTGCTGAGAAATAATGAGATTATGATAATGAAAAGGCAAGCTTCCCAAATTTTTTCTTAGTGCACGCCAAAACATCAAACATTTCTACCCATCCATAAAGAACAAAACAGCAATATTTAAGTAGAAAAGTATATAAAATGTATGGTTTTATCTATGATTTCTGCGACTTTGAACTTCTTTGCAATTGCAGTATTTCCTTCCCTTGAGAGCAAATGTGAGGTTTGACTTTTTCATTCTGGGAAAGAGGCCATACATGTTGAACACTACCAAATTTTCCATAGATTTCTTACAACCAGGACCAGCATTCGCAAAAGCCTTGGGTTTGTATGTCAGCAATGCTTATCTACTCATGCTAAAACTCATGGAAGGGATACAGCTGATTAAAATCATGCATGTGTACTAAAAGGCCAAATTAACAGTTATATACCATGCTTACTGAAACTGAAAAGCAGCATCCAAGTTCCCATCCTCTTTCCTAATACTCCTCTTGGACCATCTTGAGGAACAGCACTGGGATCTCCCCCCTCCCCGATCTTTTCCCAGAGAGCACCACTGCTGTCAGTCACTTTTCAATAACTTAAGGTTATGACTGCCTTTATGGCTGCACTAAAACGCACTAACAGGTTATCTGGGTCCAGTGCTTCAAAGCAGCTGCACATCTCTCAGCACACAATCACGTCATGCCCAATATATAAGCAGCTCTAAAGGACAGGATCACCTGAATGAGGAGCTGCAGCGCACCGTCGGCACACGACTGCACCGCGATGGGGGGGTGTGGGAAGGCCAAATGTTTATGAAAGGAATGAAGAGCACTATCATTGCTACAGTGCACATGGGAACACTCACACTTTACCTACAGCGCTAGCAACAATTGCGTTTCAGCTAGTTAAAGAAATGGATTATAAATGAATCTTACCTGGGAGGAAATGAGATGTCCAGTTCATACAATCTGTCTTTAAAGACTGACAGCTCTCTGTCAAACTCTAAAAGCTGTAAGAGATAGAAATAAATGTATTCATTCCTTAACGCTGAACTGAAGCAGTCTAAAAATACTACATTATATAAAAGCAAACAAACAGAGACTTTGGTTTCACAGCTTGAGGTGTATCCCTCATATAACAGTTCCAAAACCATAGTGCAAAACAGTGGTATTTTGATACTTAAACAGTTTGTTGAGAAAAGTGACCAGAACGTTCCTTTCCTCCCCAGTGAAACACGGAACACCGGTTCTCCACAGCAGTGACCTATATGTGCACTTACTATTTCAAGAGGGGTGAACTTTTGAATTTTATTAGCAATCTTTTCAAAGATAAAGCAGAGCAGCATTACAGAAGCACAGCAAACTGATATGCTAATCAGCCCCCAGAAATGCCAGCACAAAGTATCATATTACTTCATATTATCTTTGGCTCAGATAAGAAGGTACAATAAACACAGGGATGTGCATATCACTCTTGCTAAGCAAAGACAAGCAGTGGTTCTGCACACCTATTTTGGGCGGTGCATGTCAGATAGCAGAAAGAGTGGTACATGACAGTGGGCAAAACGTGTTCCCAGGCAGCAGTCAAGACAGAGGACTAGAGGCAGGTATTTAACAGAGATATTCGTAAGTCTAGATTTAATGTCCTGTATAAACAACAGTCACTGCCTAATTTGTTTTCCCCTGGCCCTTTACAGAGAAAATAAATACCTGCAATTGTTTGTGCATAAACACAAACCTGGTCATAACAAGTCAATGATAATCGTTCGCATTACACCAGTAATTGTTCTGATGGACATAAACGACCTTACTTCAGAGGCACGCTGGTGTTAGGTCTGACATCCGAGTGAATTAGTGAGATACAAGACACAAAGCTCACGCTCTGCACTGTTTGCTGCTGGTCGCTGCTCTCAGTGACACTTTCCATTTTGACAGGCATCATGCAAGCAGCATCCCGCAGGACGGCGGTGTGTTTGCCCACTGTTCATTAATCATGTCCCATCTCACAGCTGTGCTGATACCATTGTATGAATGGCAGAGGTTCCCAAAGAAATTGGATCGTGTCCCTCTTTCCCCTCTGCTGCCTCATAAATCATTCCTGAAATGTGCAATTAGCAGCTACTTGTACCCATTAATTATCTGTGTGAAAAGCAGCTACCTGAGCACCTGCACTGCCCAGGAGCTCCTCTCCCAGGCCTCCAGTTTCTAGCTGCTGTGTTGCTACATGCATGCACTTTTACACCAGGATGCCAAGTAATGGGCAGCCTTTCCTGTTCTAGTGCATCTCACACCACATGCGGTGACGATGCACAGGGAGAGATTCAAAAATACAAATAACTGCAGCCAATTTGTGCATGTTTTGACAGCTGATCAAAAGCCCCAGTATTCCAGATTTTTGGATAATCATTTATAAACATCTGTGTGGAAACTTATGGTACGTATCTAATAATACGCCCAATCCTAAAACTGTTGGGGTAGAACAGACACTATCCTTATGTAGCAATCTCAACATACTTCAGGAAAAAATGCTTTACCTTGAGTGCTTCTAAGCTGTGATCCTATATTTAAGCATGTGGAGTAGATGTGTAGCCACAATGCATACTTACAAAGTGGCTAAGAAAACAAACCTTACCATCTCCTTCCTGCTCCACCTTAAAGTCTGTCCAGCATAAGTCTAGCACAGGAAAAGATCTGCCCTCCCCATTAAAACTTTTCTTTGAAGTGTTTGTCTCTTACTACAGTGCAAATACATTTTTCATGCTGTTGCCAAGTAAACAGATCAGAGCAGGAGAGCAGGAGCATCAGGAGAAAGAAGGCTATTGCTGGAGTGTGAAAACCAGAAGGACTGAATAACAGAACAATGCTCCACAGAACACAATGGTATAAATTACTCATGGGCATTCCAAGGGCTGGCAGTGGTAAATAGACACATTGTCCTCTCACACCAATTCACACTTTTAACATTTTATGTGTTCAAATTGCTCTTGCTCTAATGACACTTGCAAACTAAATGAAGGCCGGGGGCTAGGGCACAAAGCCTTCAGATGTGTGTTATTATCCAGAGAAGTTTCGGATGTGTTTATGAGCTGCAGTTGTGCCTGTGCCGTGCAGATGAGCTGCTGACACTGCGGCAGAGAGGACAGATAACAGGAACAAGGCTGTATTGTGTGCCCTGCTCTCTATCAGTTCCCTGAGTTCCCCCAGGTGTAGGGACATCTTTTCCCTGAAATGAAAAAGCCAAAACCTCAGGATGACCCGGCTGGACATCAAAGCCCAACTAGGTGTCCAAAAGAAGTATTTAGGGAATGCCTGTTGAAGACAATTCACCTCACGTGTAAAACAAATATTTTCACTGGATTACTTTCCCAGACTTATTTCATGCTCTATTTTAAATAGTCAGTTTTAACAAATGATTTGTTTTTCCTAGCTATTAAGTGACTACGTCACAGTACCTGTAACCCCCTGTTCAAACATGCCCAAACAGTTATAAATATCACAAACAGTTATAAATATCACTTTCCCTCAGTAAGAGAAGGAACAAGACCTGACATCGTATGACTGTACTTGTTTTATGACAAGCACATGGGTGTCTGGAGCTCCTTGGCACTGCAGAAAATGCAAGAAAATGATTATAGGACAGATGATACTGAGGAGCAGTCAGAATCTTACTTTTAAAGCATATAATATTTTATTTAAACACCATCCCCCCCCCCCCCCCCCAATCCTCTAACCATGGCCATTTTCAGCACAAACTGCTCACTTATTTCCATAGTGTACACTAAACAGCATTGTGAACAATGTCAGTGCTGTAACAGCAAACATCAGTGTGTCTGTCACTCTAAATGCCTTAAAAATGACAAAGAAATTAAGTTCAGAGCCTAAAAATCAATATATTGTTCTATTTAATTCACTCATTATAAGATCATCCTTAAGAACCCAATCTTTAAGGCGTTACATGACGTGCTGGGGTAATTTGAGCAATTACACAGATTTGAAAATGCTGTGGCTGGAAGTTCATTCCAGAACTGTATGTCACAGGCAGTTCAGAAGACTGTTCTTTCCCCTCAACTTAATTGCACCAATGTATTTATACCCAAGCGATAGCAAGAATGATGCAGGACCAATGTTTTATCTGCTGTAAGCACTGAGCTGCTGCTGTTATGTCAAGATACGTGCTCTAAAATGCTCAGTGACCAGCCCAACATGAACGTTTGATTAATATCTTCCACATGAAAATACCACTCATATGTATGAGTAGTACATCTATAGCTGGCTGATACCCATGAGATGCAAGGGGATGCACCTTGGGAAATGCAGCCATGCAGGATGGACAAGCAGCATCCCCTGGCCTGTGGCTGAGAGAAAAAACTGAGGGGGCAGAACATGAATTGTAAAACCAGGCTCAATCTACTGATAGGATTTTGCAGTCTGAAGTTCTGTATTTCCATTCAGCAAACTTCATGAGCCAAATGCATCAGTCAGTTTGTGTACTCAAGCTCCTACTTGACCTGCAGGGGAACTGGCTTGGTATCAACGAAGTTCTCTGCAGAGAATTAAAGAATGACTGCATCTGCAGTAAGGGATATTCCCTACTTAATTTGAGTAGAATTGAAAGCATTTAGGGCTGTTGCCTGCATCAGGTGCAGTGCCCATCACCTCCTAAGAGAATTGCCAAACTGCTGCTTTTCCAGGCAACTGTGCTGTCAAAGCTGCTGAAGAGTTTCAACTTGCCTCCCTTTTTCTTGCCAGGGCTATGATGTACAAGTGCATTCCTGTGCCAGGGTGAAGAAGGGGGCAATGCATGAGACCAGGGCATGTAGCCCTGCACAGGCACTGCCTGCAGAACCTAGACCCTGCTCTGTAAGATAAGGCTGAGCAGGGCTGGATGGGTGGGCATCAGGTCACTGTCCCTATAGCTCATGGGGCTCTATGTGGTGAACCAGTAGGCACTTTGGGCAAAGATGATGGTTATCTGGAATACTAAATTTCAGAATTATGTAGCTTGATGCTAAGCAACATAATCAAATGTAGCTTAAAATTTAAAATCAAAGGATTATAACAGAGCTTAGCCAGCTGGAGCAATCAAGGGAATTTTGCTCACTTCATTTTCAGTAATGAGGCACTTTTGAAAGGTCAGTGTCCACTGGTGTGCTGCAACAGGCCACCTTGGCTAAAATCACACATGTATGAACCCTTTTAAACAGGGCAACTTAATTCAGTCATTGGAGTAGAACAACAGCAATTACTCATCAAGACCTACACACCAAAGTCAGAGCATTGGTAGATCAGAAGGTGATATTAGCAGCATTTATCAAATCCATCTCCAGGGCCCACCAGAGAATTCACAGCTGTGAAAGGGAAATGAAGTTTCAGACCAAAAAGAGGAAATAAGCACAAAGGAATGACCTTAGTGAATTAAAGTATGTGGGCATTGGTCACTTCAACCTCCTCTGCCAGGCTGGGGTAGCACACGATTATTTTTTCCAAGAGACTTTGGACATAGAGTGATTTCATCCAGCTCTCCAGTTAAAGAAAAATATCTAGAAACTGATTCAGCAGTTTTCTGACTTCAAATGCAGGTCTGGGGAAACACAGATCCCTCCACTTACCCATGAGGATGTCACACACAGCTCTGCCCCAGCCTTATTTGAAAGCTACTGTTTTCTCCAGCTAAGACTTTGTAATATGATCCAGTACTGTGTATTTTGAATCTTAATAAAGCCATTCTTTAAAATCATGTTTCACAGAAAAAAGACAAAATTACTGACTATAAATTGCTACTTACACTGCTCTTGTATATTATTGTATTTCTGAGGATTTTTCTATACATCCTGAATGGCAGTGTTGTCAAATTGTGAATTCCTCCGTAAATGTGGATATGTGGCACACAGAGAAACTATACCAACTACACTTTTCTTAACATCAGAATAGGCATGGGCAGTATAAGACTGTCAGCACAAAGACTCCTCGTGCCTGTATTAGTTTAGAAAATCTTTGATTTCGGTGGAAG